CTGTAATGCGCATGCGCTAGATGTGAGATGTATCGATATTGCTGGCACATAACGGTCTAACTGACAGAAGCCTGTTGAATTTATCATGAACGTGTGTTTGTGGTGACTGGCTGTCTTTAGCCTTATAAAGAAACAAATGAACGCTATAGTTCTATGTTTAAAGGTGTCGATAGTGAGTTGCAGTTAAAATAAAAACTACGTTTTGTTTTCCCAAAGGGCTTCTTTAAAGCTGTGAGTCAGTATGATTAGACGGTATTTTGTTTTATTAATAACGGAGAAAGTTATGGCAAACGTGTCATGTCAAATATTTATAATCGAGCTTGAAGAAGTTTTTTTTGGAAAATAACTTTGTCTACCATAGCAACCAAAATTTTAATGATGTTGTCTACAAGGTAGTTTGACGTCTAAACACAAACAGTCAAGCCAGCTAAAGTTGTCCAGCCAGTATAATAATATTCATAAGATGGAATTCAGAATCAAATCATGCGCAGCTTGTTCAAACAGTCTATCCGGGGGAGATGTTTGTTTGCCTTGCATCGCCCCCGGGCACGAGGGGGCGCTCTACGAGTGTACACGACGAGTATACTTCAAGATTCTCTTTTCAAACGAACAAAACATTTTATACAGCTGCAGAAAAAGAAAAAAATAATGTTACATGATAACGTCATCACTGTCAAACTTCTGGTACTTTAGATTTTGAATTTGGAATCAATAACGTGCCAGTGTTAAATAAAAAAGAAAAACTTTAACGAACTTTTTTCTCTAAGACGCTGGTAATGGATATTGAATGTTGGCACATGAACACACCCAAACATCCTAATTTAATGGACGACGTGTATGATAATGGAGCTATTGATGTTGAAGAATGTCCAGACAATGATTGATGTGGTTAATCATAAAAAGGTATCGATTAGACTAACATTTTTCTATATTCAATTTGGATATCCTATGATAGTTTCGAAATCAAAATAGTTCTTGAAATTAGAATGTCTGCTAATGCATCTGTTTGTGTCGTAAGAGATGAATAGTTATACCTAATTAGTAATCAGATATTTACAACTAACGATAAATACAATTAAGATACAGCAGACGGAATTAATTGAAAGAATTGAGGTTAAAGAAAAACATTTGACAATTCGACCTTGAAAATGGCGATTTAAAAAAAGAACGCAATAACTGTTCGAATATTATAATAAAAAAATTAGAAATAGCAATATTCGTAATCGAAAATATTTACACAGAAGCAGATAAAGCTCTTTAAAAAGAACGAAATTGAATAAATGAATAACAAATAAAAAGCAATAAAGGAACTTGGAACGTTCCCAAATCTACTGCATCTAATTCATACGACCACAATGGCGTCCCTAACTAAAAAACTTATATTTCCGTGGTGATCACAGTAAACATTAGCTTCAGAGCTGTGGTGACTCACATTATCGTCGATAGACATGTCGCCCCCTTAGTTAGGGGGCTGTTCATCTTATTTTGTGGTCCAAAGTATACGAGCCAGCGGCATAGAGTTATAATTATTGTCCCAAGTGTGTCCACTGTCCATCACTAAGAAATGTGGCCCAAGCGTCGCCGTAGACAAATCCACAGCTATTTTCTTGACTCTTCTAACACAACAAATAATAACATTCTGTTCTAGCGTTGTTACAAATCCTATGCCGAACTATTTACAAGTTTGTTGTCTTTTATCATAAACTACAAGATTAATTTGTAGATCATGTTTATAAATACAAAATATTTATTGGGATCTAGTTCAATCTGTCCTTGAAACTAGGCTGGTATTTAGTTCATTGTGTATTCCGTAACGTTTATGATCGGCCGTAATGTTTAATGATAGAATTAATCACAGTTCCGATCTTCCCACATCTTCTCTTCGCAGAATTTCTTAGTCATTGCAGTCTAAATCCAGATTTCAAATTGTTTTGAGCGGTGATTTTTTTTTGGTTTCGTTCGTTGACATCTAATCTTTTTTGTGATATGACATTGGCTTCTGCAATTTTTTTGTTTTCATTTCATTCATTTTTTTCTCTATCAATCATAACCTTTCCTTCATCGAAATCGTTGTCTACGATCACATTCACGCTATCTTCAACAATTTACACCACACCCCTCGATACACTATTCTCTTATCAAGTATACAGAATCCAATCTTAACACCTGACAACAAGGTTTATATTGCATTGTCTTTGAAGCTATGTAAATCAGTAATTTGGGCTTATCCCGTCTCAGCTGAGGTAAGCACGATCGGAATGAGGTATTAACATTGATTTAGTTATTCAATAGGCATTGTGTTTATTGAGTCTTTCATAAACGTCATGTGATTGTATAGAAAATTACATTTAGTCATAATAAAAATTAGGTTTAAAATCAAGCAGTTCTTATTCGATTGATTTAATTTTAAAAAATTAGAAATGAGTTATACCTTTTTTCAGCAGGTTGTATATCTATGGTGCGATGTCTATGGTGATATGTAAGTTCAAACTGGTGGGGTATTTGGAAAAACTAGCTGTTACCCGCGTGTTGATTGGCGAGGCGTATTTGAGAGCAATATAGTACGAAACGCAACGTTTATTGTCTACTCCTGCGTTTTGTCTGTCAGTGTCATTAAAATGAATTAATAAAACGAAATAATCTCCGTAATCCGAATTTTGCGGATGTAAGTTGTTGACTCGAAATCGATATTTTTTATGTTTTGTTATTCAGGTAATGTTCCGATCGAGTCTACCGTACCCTTTGACGAAATTATTAATAAAGAAGAGATATGATATCAATTGTCTTGTAACAATACTCACTAAAATCCAAAACAAAACAACATTAAAATTTATTACTACTCCAAAATGAACCGCAATATGACACCCATCACCAATTAGCCATTCTAATTGTGACAGTAAAGTTCAGCCTGCACTTGAAGCCTTGCAAAACGAAGACATTTATTTACGAAACAGCACAATATTACAACACGCCAAACACACTCAGTGGGGACCATAAAATGCTTGCTAAATGGGGGTAAAGGTTACTTGTGAAAATACTTCAATTTCCACACCAATTCTCTTTACGAGGTGATAAAATTTCACACAAAATCCGTCTTGGACCATCAGTACTGAAGTGAAGTAACAGGTTGTCTGTAAACCATTTTCCCTATTTCTGGCCAGGCAGCGATAGAACGCCTTGCCTTGCATTCATCGCTTCTTCGGTTTGAAGGAGGTCTAATAAAGGTGGGACTAATTCAGTAATGGATGTAGTACACTGTGTCAAATGTGTCTGAGTGGAATTTTAAAACAGTTTTCTAAGGAGGATGAATCCGTTAATTGCCTCTTTGAGTTAATTACAACTGAGAGTGATGCGAAAAGTTAATTTTCTTGGCACAAATTTAAAAAGGAGTTTTAGTGTATTCGCAGAAATGGAAAAGGTTTTCCGTTAACCAAAAATGTTGTTTGTAGAAACAACATTTAAATTATTCCGGAATCCCCGCTCAGTTGAGTAAACATAATAATAGCAAAAAAGCTATTTCAGTTCGTTAATCCTTGCGTGAGTGTTTCTCAAAATATATCGATTTTTGTAAGAATCAAAGAAAACAGGTCTGGCACCCTCGTCGGCCTAGTAATGCAATAACGTCGGTACTCGGATGTTTAAATTTATTTGCACCCCTCACTTCGACCCTCATTGGAAGCACCCTATACAACCGTCTAGTTGACAATTATTAACTTTTCCTGATCGAAACTGCGGGATGTCATTGGCACTTGCTAGACGAGACGAAAATTATTGTTATAGGACTTAGTTCAGCACTTACAACATTTTTTTTATGGGAGAAGCCGGTAAACGAGCAGATGGATCAACTGATCGGCGTCGCCCATGGACACCTGGAACACCAGAGGCGTTACCGGCCTTCTTGATTAGAAATTTGAGGATTGTTGGGGATTGGGGAAAGAGTATGAGGGTAATTGGGCCTCCGGTAACCTCACCCACACTAAGAAACACAACACACATTAAGAGAATAGACAAAAAAAAAACTAAAAGAAAATTGGTTGTTTGCCTGTTTTAATAATATTTTCGACTTTACTACAAAACAATAGAATCTAAAATCTATTGTGGAAATTAGACCTTAATATGCAGTCCTCTACAAAGTTGAGAATGAGAGAAAGCCAAACACCTGTTCATCCCACGCGACCACGCACAAATGGGTCAGTAAATTACAACCTCGGTTAGCTATTAAACTTGAAACTAATTGAATGTCAGTCTAAAAAGGTTTCAAAGTAGGCAGGCAATGAGTTAGACTAATAACTTGATATAAAATGTAACGTTTAGAGAAAGTTAAAATACAATTAGTTATACCTGTTTATTATGGGATAAGCCGGTAAACGAGCAGACGGATCACCTGATGGTAAGCAATCGGCGTCGCCCATGAACACTTGAAACAGCAGAGGCGTTACAAGTGCGTTACCGGCATTTTGGGGATGAGGAATTTGAGGATTCAGTGATTGGGGAGATTGGAGTGGGGAAGAGGGTGTAATTGGGCCTCCGGTAATCTCACTCATACGATGAAACACAACGCAAGCGTTGTTTCACGTCAGTTTTCTCTGAAGCCGTGGTATCACTCCAGTCGTGCCGGCCCATTCGCGCCGAAGCATGGCTCTTCCACACTTAAAAATACAATGGACACACATTCGATAATTATGATTGGGTAAAGCTGTCGGTGAGGTGTAGTCTAGCACTGATTATAGTAATTACGAGTAGTATAGAATTAAGAATATACGGAAATACCTACTAAAAAGTAAAAGCCCTACCTATAAGTAGAAAGATTAAATCATTAAGAACTATATGCTTTGGAGACAATACAAAAACCCTTAACACAAAATGAGTGGTATTGTGACTTTGACGCCAATATTTGTTTGTCTTTCTGTATCATCGTAACTCCCAAATGAATGGGCCGATGATTAATCGACATTTACCAAATAAATTTATACTAAGTTTATCTTTTCTCTTGTTAACAGATGCAGATCAGCTATGCACAAATCGCGGGTGTTGCGGTGCAGGCGCACGGACGCGACTCACACAGGCTGCGCGCACGCAGCTCGAGTCCGCGTTGTGGAGCGAGCTCAGCAAGTTAGCTGACACACTGACTAACAGAGCTATCAAATTTGATGGTAAGTACTTATTACTTTAGCATGTTAAAAAGTTACAAATTGTTAATAACGTCCTTGTTGCCTTATGCTGATAGATTTTCTTTTGGGGCGAAAATCATCAAATTCTGCCCTGTGTGGTTAAACCATAAGTTAGAATTGTAAGCACAGTAACGTGTTTCTTAAATTATTATTTTTCTTCTTTTCATTATTTTTTCTTTGAGTCGCTAGAATTCTAAATTACTTGGAGTCGCTGTCTGTCTTCTATCATTCTCCTCAGTCAGCCTGTCAGGCATCATCATATCACAACTTCCTTTACGTTCAGAACCATTTATCTCACAATCCATCAGCCAGTCTTTTTCCCTTTACCCAAGTCATTTACAATTAAGTTGTGAAAATAAATAATGTGTAGGCCCCTACCTAACGGTACAATACTGGTTTATAGCAGAGAATATGAGAATTTGTGTCCATTGTATTAATTGTTAGGCTTCAATTTATAATTGAAAATTAAAGATCAAAGTTCACAGCGATACCTTAGCAATTTGTTCCACACATTACTCTCAACTTAAAAGGGCAACAAATAAGGAAATAACTAAGTAAAATAAAGTGTAAAATTTAATTAAAATTCCACAAACACTTCGCTTCGTAGACGGGAATTAAAGGCTGGGGTACAATGAGCTTGTAATCTAAGGTAGGTACTTGTTTGCAACCGCAATGGACCTCGAAGCGAACACTAGGTAGTATAATACTCATGAATAGATATACGATAGGGCTAGGTCTAGATCTATTGTTGTTTCAAATTAATCACGAAGATTCATAGTTCACTCAGATGTCTAAAAAAATCTCGTCCCACCAGTTCTGCCAAACGCATTTTTTCAGCCTCCTTTCGATTATCGCAGTGTTTTATTTGCTAATATTTAATTAATAGCGGGGAGATTCTTCCTACTTTTTACGAGCACAAAGTACAAATAATCCCCAAACTCACACGGCACGTGCTTACAAAACAGTTTCGTAGTCACCCTTTGAGTTGTCACGTCACAATTTTGTACTTCATGTGTCCCGACCTTAATAGCCGCGTCCGGCGCCGGCGCAGTTGGCAGTTGCATCAGAACGGGACCACAACCCGCTTGTCCAAACATGGCGGTGACACTTGAAAGTGGACTCGACACGAAGTGCACGAGCAACTGTTTGCCGGACAAAAATTATCGCAGATATTACGCAGTTTTTGAAGGAAAGCATTCGATTTTTTGGGTATCGATACTAAATTTGGGAATCGATTTGCGTAATGCAATGATGCCTATTAAATTATGAGAAATACATATGGCGGAGTGGCAGTGCATTGAGTTTTAGAGTTGCAGGAGCAACGATTATGATATGTTCAAAGATATTCTTTCATAAATATCTTGGCTTAATTTCATCAACCGCTCAAATCTCGAGCTTCAGTCGTTCTCAAATATCATTTGATCAATAATTTTATATGCTTTACTTAAAATTCCCTACGGAGAAATCAATTTTTAGTGATACAAGTACCCTAAAATATTGCAGAATCAAAACAAACAGAGAATTACGTAAACGAAAATACCGCAGCTTTATTTATCGAAACAAAAACTAGTTGACAACAATTGTAATTTAGAATCGACCACAATTCTGTTCAAGTTGTCAGAATAGGCAAAAGCTTTCAACAAAGTACCCGAAAGACTGTAAACCCACATTGGTTAAAGAAAGTTTACTTGTGGTTTCAATTCCATCATGTTTGAACAACCGAATGTTCTTTGAGATAATTGAACGCCGACTAAAAGACAAAATGGACGACTCGACGTGAATCTGTTTGTTTCTTGTTCAATAGGCACTTCGGACTTAGGAAATCGTTTATTGAAACCTGGTAAATGTGAAAGTATATGGCTGAGTCTAAGTATCTTGTTATTTGCACCTAGACTGGGTACACAAACATATAAACGATAGTCCATATGCCGTGACGCCTGCAGACTGCTTCAGTGACATCTATCACTCGCTCCGGTTGAAGGGCCTTTGAAAAGTTACACCTAATCTGAACTATAAAAGTTCATAGCTCATAGACTGGTAATTAAGCAGTCATAATCCAAACACAACAACTTACTAACTGAGATATCTCTCAAAGCAAACAAGTAACATTGTTTAATGACAGCAAAATGTATCTAACACCGCCGAAAGAAACCTCATGTTTACATGCTCGGTAATATGAATAAATGTTTACTGTACATTTGTCCGTCACACAGTAAGTCCAACATGGTGCCTACATTCGTAATTACGGTGTCCGGTCGGCCAGTAACCGGCGAGATCAATATTGACACTGCTACTTTCCAACATTCATTCAAGGGACTTGTGTTTCAATCACACGAGAAACTGTTGATTATTGATAATTTGTACATAAAGTGAACAGCGCTTTTAATTTACTCAAGAATGTCGTTGACGCCGACATTTTTTTGAAGATCGAGTCACGACCTCACACTCTTTTATGTATAATTGAACGTTCAAACGAGTATATTGATATGTTTATTTGATTTCGGTGGTTTTATGTTGTCATAACATTAGAAAGAATACGCCGCCATCTTAAAATACGACGTTTCTTTTTAAAATGTTGCCAGAGCGAAAAATCCTATAATAAAGCGTTATTTTTCCGAAAGATCCATTATCCTTTTTCAGGTGGGAAGGTCTGTTTATATCTCTGCTTACAGTGTGAAACGCTTTCACCAGACTGACCTTATTCCCTCGGGTTATTTCTAAAGCCGTGTGCGGGAAGATAAGCGGCTTACACAATCTATTTTCCTTTTATTCTCTGATCAGTATTGGAAGCCATGTTTTAACGTACGATTACTATAAAAATGCGAATAAACTAATAGCATTTAGCCTTGGAAAACCAAAAAGTTAATACGACGCATGCAACTGGATTGAAAGTCATAAAATATTTTCTTGCGTCTTCTAAAAACAAAAGAACGAATCTATCCGCCAAAATTACATGAAAGAAAGCTATAAAGTTTTATAATAACAGAATTTAATGTTTCGTGAGAACAAAAGATGTTATAAGCTTCAGCTCGAGCAATACTTGAGTGTTATCGTAATAGCAAATGGCAACCGCAAGACTAAACATTGCCCCTACAATGAGTAATAAGTCGACAATCGAAGGAGTTGGGACGCAGATGAATCACTGCCCAGGAGTTGTTACTACAGGAACACGAATGTAGGAATTAGAACATTAAACATCCGTTTTTGTTATTAAATATTTTCTGTGTGTAGCTAGGTCTTAGATGTTATGCACGTCGTGATTGAGTGGTCTATAGCCGCGCGTAGAATGTGATCATTCGTGACGACTGCAACGGAAAGAATTTTACTGGCATGCTGTAGTTACATGATGCTGTATTTTAAGAGAATATTAAAATGGTTTAAATCAAATAGGATCTTGGATTATCAAGTATACCTACAGAAATCTTCCGTACAATATCACATCAAACAAATAAGTACTGAAGCTTAGGGAATAGAAGAAAAAAATTTGGTCAGAAATATAAGTATCATCATGCTTCTATAAGTCTTAGTAGGGGTTCAAAAGTGTGAGTAAGTATTTTCTCGCGATAACCCGCCTCTGTTCGAAGCTATTTATACCACACTCGCCGTCTGTCGATGCTCTTAGCCGAACGATGATAGAACAAAGTGTTATTACGAAACACACAGTGAATAATTGCACATATCATGATGTATTACGTATAGACTAAGAAACTGGATCATGTTTTTAACGAGCATCGGGAAAATGCCGAGGAAACTCGGTGAATCGGTTAGATACGTCATTGCAATGAAAATTTCGTGGAACTACGGATGATCGTAGTTTGTTATTTGTTTACTCTTTTGTTCTTAGTTGATAAACATCTAATTTCAGCACCTAACGAAACTAGTGTTGAAATCAGGTTCCATGTAATAAACAATTGCTTTAGCAGAAATTTGTCTAGCCACAATGACTGGACTCTAATTCCTGTAAATGGAGACTGTAGATTTATAAGTGTAGGTATGTCTATAAAACATATTGTTCCACACACACTAGGTCATACAGACATACAATTATATTATAGTAATTTATCGCAACTGACACGCGGATAACTAAGGAACGTGTTAACTCTTACATATAATTTCATAGACTGGACACAGTTGCTTGGGTAAAGGAATAATGTAAGTAGGCACCTCACACATACAATTGTATACGTAATATATAAACAATTGCATACTAGTGTGTACAAGGACTATTGGGATACAGATTATCCATTTCAAAATTCCCAAAGGTAACTCAGTGTTCACACCCGTGCATAGCAAAAGGTTCACCCTTAGACCAATATTGGGTTCTGTTACCCTTCGCGTACAAACAAGCGTGAAGGTATGTAATTTAGGGGTAGAAACACTTTTAAATTATTCGACAACGACCTTGCTCTTTCGCTTCGCTCCTTTATTCTATAAAATTCCATGTTTTAACTGATACGTAGGTGTATTTTTCATCAATTATTAACGATTCACCTTTTGCCGGCATCACGACCACGTAATTACGTATAAGGGTGGCCATAATATCGATTCTCCAGTATAAATAGGAACACGATAATGGCAGCCCTAATTTCATGTTATTTGTATCGCTTCGTAATAGGAAAGCGATTGATGTTATTGGAAAATGTAAGCACTGGAATAATCTTTTATAGGATCCCCAATTTTTCTCTAAAAAGGCCGAGTGTAGGTATTGGAAAAGGTTGATATACCTACCTATAGCAATTTTTCGTTGGTTATTTTGATGAGACCAGAGCAGATGGACGCCCATTACTATTTGAACGATTGATACTCCCAAAATAAATAGTTTCTTTTTCTTTATTGATTGAGTTAATGAGAACACTTCGGTTATCTCACTGATAATATATCCTGTACAATTTTTAAAAAATAACCTGTCTCATCATCCACTAGAATATCTGTATTTGAAAACAAAAAGCCCACCATAAATATTAAAAAACAACATCCAATAA